AGGGTTTGGGGTTTGGAATTTGGACACATGTCTTGTGCCCTGTTTACATTCACCCAATCCTTTTTCTGCGGCAGTCTTATCTGGCTGTCTGTGCTCCCCAGCTTGCTGTTTAGGGTTTAGAGTTTAGGGTTTGGAGTTTAGGGTTTAGGGTTTAGGGTTTAGGGTTTAGGGTTTGTCTTCAGGACCGCGTGGACTTGATATGGTACATAAAGGCTGCCTGCGAAGACAAAGCAAAAGAGCTGAAGGAGGGGCTCTCTTCAATGCGTTTGAAGCTGCAGCAGCAGCCAAAGCAGCAGCAGCAGCAGCAGCAGCAGCTGCACCCTGCGGGGGGCGCAGCAACAGCCACGGGGGGCCCCATGGGGGGCCCCACAGGTAACCCTCATGGGGGGGGCCCCCCTGAAAGAGTTTCAGAGGCTTGAGAGGGTTTGCAGAAGTTGACTTTAACAATGCAGCAGATGCTGCAGCAGCAGCAGCAGCAGCTGCTGCTGCTGCAGCTGTCGCTGCTGAAGCTAAAGACCAAAGAGTTCTAAATCCGTGAAATGCTGTTGAGACAGCTACAGGAGCAGCAACGCAGCAGCAGCAACTGCGCTCGCAGCAGCAGCAGCAATAACTACTAACTGCAGCCGCAGCAGCAGCAGTAACAATAACTGCAGCAGCAGCAGCAGCAACAGCAGCCTTTTGACGTGCATATGAAGAGCCCTGCGTTGCTGCCATTTTATTCGGGAAGATATGCCAGGCGGCAGCACAGCAGCAGCAGCAGCAGCCATCGCAGCAGCAGCAACTGGCTGAAAGAGCAGCAACTGCAGCAGCTGCAGCAGCAGCAGGAGCTGCTGCTGCTGCTGCTCTGTCTGCGACACTTTTGCCACTAGAAAACTTGGGGCCCTTTGAACTTATTGAAAAGCCAGTGGCCCTAAACCCTAATCTAAACCCTAAACCCTAAAGGGGCTTGGGGCTCTGACTTCTAGGGCTTTTGGGCCCTCATTTGTTCTTAATATATGGACAGTAACTCTTGCTCTCATGCTGCTGCTGCTGTTGGTGTGCATGCTGCTGCAGCTGCAGCTGCTGCTGCTGCTGCTGAAGCTAGTGCGCCTTTTGCTGCTGCTGTTGCTGCGCGTGCTGCTGCAGCAGCTGCTGCTGCCATTAGTGCGCACTTCGCTGCTTCTGTTGCTACTGCTGCTGCAGCCCTTGCTGCTGTTGCTGCTGCTGCTGTTGCTTCATTTGCTGCAGCAGCAGCTGCTGCTGCTGTCTGTGTGCTCGCTGCTGCTGCTGCTGTTGCTGCTGCTGCTGCTTCTGGCAGCACAAAGGGGCAATTAGCTGCGGTGTAGCTACAGGCCCTTACCCAGACAAAACCCCTCGAGGGGCCCCCGAAGGGCCTTCATAGTGCCCTTTCTACGGGCCTGTAGGGGCCCCAGGGGGCCCCTCTAGAGTACCCTTTCTAGGGGCCCCCAGGGGCCCCTTGGGGCCCCTACTGTACCCTTTCTAGGGTCCTCTGGTGGCCTCTAGGGGGCCCCCAGGGGCCAGAGCTACAAGTGCCCCAAGCGGGCCCCTAAAGGCCCCTGAAAAGGGTACTGTAGGGGCCCCACGGGTCCCCTAGAGGCCCCCAGAAAGGCTGCTATGGGGGCCCCCTAAAGGCCACCAGAGGCCCCTAGAAAGGGTACTGTAGGGGCCCCAAGGGGCCCCTGGGGGCCCCTAGAAAGGGTACTCTAGGGGCCCCCTGGGGCCCCCACAGGCCTGTAGAAAGGGTACTATGGAGGCCCTTCGGGGGCCCCTCGAGGGGTTTAGAAGAAGTACTGTAGGGGCCCCCAAGAAGCTCCCCAGGGCTTTCTTGGGGGCTCTTGAAGGGCCACTATAAAGGCCCCCACGGGGACCCGTATGCGCTAAACCCTAAACCCTTTTCTAGGGTTTTAGGAGGCGCACACGTATGGGGTTCCCGCTTCGCTTGCATTCACTCTAGTGTCTGTTTTGGGGGCCCCGTAGGGTTTAGGGTTTAGGGTTCAGGGCTAGGGTTTAGGGTTTAAGGAGAGCCCTATAGATCCCAGGGCGACCCCCAGTAGGGGCCCCCTTCTCAAGGCCCTTTTGAGGGGCCCCCCGGGGCCCCCCAGAGGCTCTCTGAGGGCCCCCAGAGGCCCCTTAGAAGCCTCTAATGGGCCCCCAAGGGCCCCGGGGGCCCCCAGGGGGCCCCTGGGGGCCCCTCTGCTACATTGTGCCTGGGTGCCTCGCTGTGAGAGAGGCCCCCGGGGGCCCGGGGTGGGGGAGGGGCCCCTAGGGGCCCCCGTAGGGGCACCCCTGTTGCCTACAGCACGGGAGGCTGTGCTGCTGCTGCTGCTGCTGCTGCTGCTCGGGAGCTGCAGATACAAACAAATTATTTCTTTAGTTGGTTATTCAGACTCAACGTGTTGTTTATTTATATATCATCATGGACCTGTTTGTTCGTTCTCGCTGCTTTGGCTTGCTGCTGCTGCTGCTGCTGCCACTGCTGCTGCTGCTGCTGCTGAGCTATTACGG